GGTTTATGGCAAAAGCCTGTGAGTGCCTACCAGAGATGATTACTGGGACTTTGGACTTGAGAATTTCCATCTGAGGGGCATTTACTACCTTGCTATTTGACATTAATTGAAGCTACCCTCATGACTGAAGGACAAAAAATGATCTTCAAACCTGAAATACCCAAGACGTTTTGAGTGATGTCAGAGAAACACTCTAATGGGGATGGCAGTGCCCAGAAGAGTTCCATGATAAAACAGAATTGGTTTATACAGATCGTGCTACCTGGAGAATGCAGGAGATACTCATGAGCAGGGAGCCTCTTTCTCCCTAGTCAGTCCCTAGGACTGACTTTGGAACTGCACAAGGAGCTGCCAGATTGTATAGTCACTTGGACAGTGCCCTATAAACAGCTCGCCAACAACCAACCAACAGCTGCTTGGTTTGTGGATAGCAGTTCCAAGGTAAACAGACAACATCCTGTTTGGAAGGCCACCATTCTGATTGAAAAAGGTAAAACCAAAACAGCTCTGTGGACTGAACTGCATGCTGTTTTCCCATCCTTTCCCAAGGATGAAATACTGAATAGTGGTAAAACCCTCTGTTTGGGTTTTTTCATGGGCAGTGGCCAATGGTCTAGCCGTGTAGGTGGATACAAGGGCAATGGAAATCTGGTCATTAAGGCAGGACATATCTGTGCCCATCAGAAGAACTCTCTTCCATGTTCAGAAGCTGACTGGAACTGACAAGCAGATATCCCAATGCGCTTGCTTGAGGTGGCCACCTGAGTCCATGAGATGAGTGGATATGGAGGAACTGCAGCAATGCAGAAATGGACTGAATCTAGACATATTCCTCTTGCATTTTAAGGCACAAAGCGCCAGAGTCAAGGAAAACGTTTTCTATCCCTACAATGTCCAACAATGGGCAGAGAGATATCCTCCTCAGAGTAATAGTTCGATACAGAATTGGAATGGGCAATTAAAACATTAGTTATCTAAAATCGGAGATGGGAGGGAGGGGGGAGATATAGGCCTGAAGGGCTAGCTTTCACACCTTCACGAGTATATGTATGCTCACACTCAATATGAGTGGAGCTAAAAGAATGTCCCCACTAGGGACTTCCCTGGTGGAGCAGTGGATAAGACTTTGCACTTCCAATGCAGGGGGCACGTGTTTGATCCCTGGTCAGGGAACTAGGTCCTACATGCATGCCACAACTAAGAGTTTGCATGCCACAACTAAGGAGCCCACATGCTGCAACTAAGAAGCCCTGGAGCCGCAACTAAGGAGCCCACATGCTGCAACCAAGGATCTGATGAGCTGCAATTAAGACCCAGCACAACTAGATAGATAGATAAATAGAACGTCCCCACTAGATATTCTCCTGTTTTTCTGGGGAACCTGGGGAAGAGGGAGTGGGAAAGGATGTTGATATGATTATGTAATTCTTGCTAAGGGAGGATACTGGTATAATGACTACACTTTTTTCTTCTTCTTCCCCATATCACAACGTTTTTTAATTCCCCTACCTGGTGCAGTGGTCACAGAACCAGGGCTGCAACTACAAATGCTGGAAGCAGGGATGATTCCTAAGCAAGAAATTGTAACTATGTTGTAAACTCTTTTTGTCAGGATTCCCAAGGGCCTAATGGGTTGGGTTATGCCTTAACTCCATCTGGCAAAATTGGGAATAACACTGAATGCAACTATATTGCCTCCTGGTAAAAACAGCCCGCTAGTTCTGCACCTATGTAATCTTACCCTATCTGAATGACAGCGGACTGAGGGGGAGACACTTGCTAGACTAGTATTGCTGTTGGCAATCTAGACCAACACAGTGGTCAAAATTAATGTCCCTTCCAAAGGTGGAAAAGTTTGAGTGTACATGAAGAGAAGGAGGATCAGGAGCTGAGGGTACAGGAATGAATAAATAGGCTATGTAATAAGAGAAATTCAATATGACATTAACACATTAAAAAAGGCTCAGAGCGGGGCCTCCCTGGTGGCGCAGTGGTTGAGAGTCCGCCTGCCGATGCAGGGGACACGGGTTCGTGCCCCGGTCCGGGAGGATCCCACATGCCGCGGAGCGGCTGGGCCCGTGAGCCATGGCCGCTGGGCCTGCGCATCCGGAGCCTGTGCTCTGCAGTGGGAGGGGCCACAGCAGTGAGAGGCCCGCGTAATGCAAAAAAAAAAAAAAGAGTCTCAGAGCAAGAGATGATATTATTTCTTAGTTAAAGAGCAATATATGGCTTCACCCTAAGACCACTTCTGCTTTTGGAGCCTTACAAAATCTACTGGAAGCCTGCAAACCTCAGTGGCCTTGCCCTGGGAGACATCCCACTCTGTCACCTCATTACCGTATGTCAAAAGGGGATCCTTATGAATGACAAAAGACACTCCTATCACTCAGGAAATTATAAAGGTTTGAGGAGTTCTGTGCTAGGAACCAGGAACAAAGACCAAATATAGTTCTTATTATATCTTCTGGTCTTTGATGACAGATCCCTTAAAACAAAATGATTGTAACAGTTAACAGATACTAGCACATTACTAGAGTCCCATTCAGTCATTAATGATTAGTCCAGTTTATCATATGAAAATGTCTCTCAGGGCAAGGAAGCATTCACCACGTTGGTGAATGCACTCACATGCCTGGATGATGGGACAGCCTAGTTCCATGGGGACAGAAGCTCCTGTGCTCAGAATCCTTCAGAACCCTGCCCTATGTATCTCTTAATCTGGCTGCTCATCTGCATCCTTTATAATAAACTGGTAAATATAAGTAAATGTTTCTCTGAGTTCTGTGAGCTGCTCTAGAAAATTAATTGAACCAGAGGAGGGGGGGTCGTGGGAACCTCAGATCTGCAGCTAGTCAGTCAGAAGCACAGGTAACAACATAAACTTGGGATTGGCATCTGAAGTGGGGACAGCAGTATTGTGGGATTGAGCCCTTAACCTGTGGGATCTGACACTATCTCCAGGGAGACAGTGTCAGAATTGAGTTAAATTTGTTGGACACCCAGTCAATGTCTGCTGAGAATTACAGAACTGCTTGATGAGGTATGGAAAAAACACACATTTGGAGCCACAAAACACCTGTCTTGATTACTGTAGCTCTACAGTATGTTTTGAAGTCAGGTAGTGTAACTCCTCCAATTTTGTTCTTCGTTTTTCTAAGTTGTTTCAATATTCTAGGTCCTTTGCATTTCTGTATGAATTTTAGAATCAGCCTGTGAATTTCTCTTCTGCTAAGACTGCTAAGATTTTGACTGGGACTATATAAATCTACAATACATTTGGAGAGAATTGCCATTTTAACAATAGTAAGTCTTCCAACTCATAAGTGCCGTCCTTCTATTTGGTTAGGCCTTCCCTAACGTCTCTCAGCAATGCCTTTGTTTTTCTCAGTGTACAGGTCTTGTACATCTTTGTCAGATATATCCCTAAGTATTTCATAGTTTTTGGTAAAACTGTAAATGTCATTTTTTCATTTATACTGGTTGCAGCTAGTATAAAGAAATGCATCTGATTTGTGTATATTGATCTTTTATCCTGGAACCTTGCTAAACTCACTTATTAAGTCTAGTTGCCCTCTTGTAGATTTCATGGGATTTTTCTACATAGATATCATGTCACCTGTGAATAAAAACAGTTTTCCTTCATTCTTTCCAATCTGGATGCCTTCTGTTTCTTTCCTGATCACACTGGACAGAACCTTCATTACAATGTTCAATAGCAGTGAGGTTGGACATCCTTGCCTTGTTCCTGATCTTAGAGGGGAAACAGTCACATTTAATTTTTCACTATTAATTTTGATGTTAGCTGTAGGATATCCTTAGATGCTCTTTCTGCATCTACTGAGATGATCAGATTGTTTTTCTTTCCTGGTCTGGTAATAGGATGAAACACATTGACTTTCAAATGTTAAACCAACTTTGCATTCCTGGAATAACCTCCTTGGTCCTTTTTATATACTGTTGGGTTCCATTTGTTAAAAAATTTTTAAGAATTTCCTCATCTATGCTCATGAGAGATATTGTTCAGTAATTTTCTTTTCTTATGTCTTTGCCTGGTATTGATATCAGGATAATTCTGGTGTTCTTGCTTTCTAATTTTTTTTAAACCAGCTTTCTTTCAGTTTGGATATTTTCTATTGCTGTGTATTCAATTTCACCAACCTTTTCTCATTTGTATCTACTCTTAAGCTCACCCAAATATTTTTCATGTCAAATTTTTATTTTTTTCCTCCTCTTAATTTCATGTTTTCTTTAAAATCTTGGATCATATCTATAAAAAAAGTTTGAAATTTCTTCCTGCTAATTCCATCATCACTACCATTTCTGGGTCTGTTTCAATTGTCTAATTTTTCTCCTGGTTATGGGTCATATTCTTCTGCTTCATCTCTCACCTAGCAACTCTTACCATATAACTAAACATGTTGTTGAGTGTATAGATTTTGTTGTCTTTTTTAACAGACTGCTTAGTTTTTCTCTGACAGACAGTTTACTTGCAGAGCAGCTTGATCATTTTAAGACTTGCTTTTAAGCTTCACAGGGTTGCCTTAGAGAAACCTTTAATTTAGGGCTAGTTTAATCTTTTCTGGCATCTGTAGTGAATGTCCTGGGTATTAAGTTCTTTCCACTGTTTGGAATTCGAATATTTTCTAACCTGTGTAAGCTCCATGTGTTGTTCAGTTAGAAGCTCCTTGGTATTTGTTCTTTTTCAGGCCTCAGGAAGTCTCACCCTAGGCATGCACAGCCTAAGACTCAAGAAACTCCTATGAAGATTTCTGAAGTTCTTTCTTAGAACAGTGTAAGTCTCATTCACCACTGTCATTGATTTCTAATATTGCCAAGCTCATTCTGAAAGTATAAATTTACTTCATAACTTAAGATTCTCTTTACACTGTATTTTTAAAAGTCTGTGTCCTTAAAAATCAAACACAATTTAGAAATGGCCTTCCTGTGCAAGGAGAATTTCACTTGAAAAAGAAAAACACAGTTCTCTTTTTGGTACATACGATTCTTGCTGCAGACATGCTGCATGGCCCAAACTGCCCATAGCTGGACTCCTGGTGTTGTGAAACAGCCAAGTAATGGGAAAAATGGATTAAAGGACCTAAACATTCAAAGAAAAGAATAAAAGTTACATCCTGTACTTAGTGTCATTTTCTAAAGCAATGATTCCTGAGCTTTTTGCTACAGAAATTTCATCCTGCTATTTTTAAACTATATAATATAAATGAGCTTCTGTAGAACATCTTTTCTTTGTCTTAGCCATTTGATAAACGAGTACATTCATACAAAAGTCTTGGTACAGAAGATGGAAGGCGATCAGAACAACATATTTTTTCTCAAAAGCACCTGTTGGTCTTGAAGATGCACATTTGAAGAATTGCAGACTTTGGTTTGGAAACTTAGATAAGGAGAAGTTAGTTGATAACTAACCAGAACAACACCATGACGGAGCTCTAGAGTTAGCCTTTCTATTTCTACAAGTCTTCTGCCCAAAAATGTACAGAACATAAGTGGGAATCAAAAGTGTTGGCAGCATCAGCATTTATAAAGTAGACAACAAAATAAATTGCAATAATAATATTTATGCAGCAATCTGGAATACTTCTGGTATATTAGTAACTTATCTATCAAGTCACCTAACTGTCATAAACAGAGTTAGAATCTAGTATGCCCTTCAGTAAATTATTATAAACTGTTTCCCTGAACAAATCAGGTGCTATTTCTAGTTCTCTAAATGTGTTCTCGTTTTAGACCTCCTTGCATTAATATTCTACCTAAAATCTTCTGTCTCTACTTAATTATCTCTCAAAACTCAGCTCACAATCTACTTCCTCTGGAAGCTTTTTACCATTTTCCAGTGCACGTTCAGAGCATTCTATGTACATAACTAGCATAGGAGTGAATTATTTCTGATTTACATTTGGTTTCCATCACTAGGCTGTAAAGTTCTTGTACGGAGGCACCATATCTTACTCGTCTTTGAATTTCAAGAGCACAGAACAAGATCTTGGCACCTGTTTTCAATAAATGTAGAATGAAGGAAGGACTGATGAATGACAGGTAGCAAAATAAATTAAAAATACTTTATTTTAAAGCCAGTACGAAGATAGATGCCAAAGGGTAAAATCTACATCTAATAGGAATGACCTCTACACTAGCAAAATGACTAGGTTACTGGCTTAATATTAATTATCTTGCTAGTTACCTGTATGCTACCATCTCACACTCTGGAGTTGGCCATTTCAAAATTGCTGAATGCTGAAAGACACAAAGCACACAAGAAAGGGTTACAATATTTATTTAGCATTGCATTTTGAGGGTTTGACAGTTTAACCATTATGAATGTTGTTTGTATGCTTCCAAAAAACACCAAATTATCCTACCAGATCATCCAGAAGAGAATTCCTCTGGCTACGACTCAATGTCCAAGCTTGTTCTCCTCTAGATATTAAGTGGGCAATAATCCCAGCTGCAAAGTAACTGACTTCCACTTCAACACTATGTAGAAGGCTACTGATGTGGTCTATAAAATCCTTCCACATTAATTCAGAATGCAATTCTTGTACTTCAGCTATATTGTTCTGGAAAAAAAAGAAGATATAAAAATTAAAATAATATGTATAATAAATGGCTAAATGACACTGCAACGATTTAAATATGTATGGACAAAAGCGAATATTATTGCTATGTTAGCACAGTGGGATTACAGGTGATTTCATTCCTCTTCTCCCCAAACAATAAAATAATAAAGAAACAGTAGCGAGTTCTGTTTCAGGTAAAACAGTAAACTAGGTAACCTAAAAATTTCCTGCTATAAAATATCTAGAAGTGCTGAGTAAAAACAGGCAAACAAACTTTATATATGTAACTTTTTTTGTGGGACAAAATGTAAATAGGGAATCAAACTAGAGCATAACAGGCTATCACAGGCCTGCAGGGGCAAGAGAACTGGGTTTTAATAGACATGCAAGGGCAAAAGTAAGGTCCAGAGATTGGAACTAATACAAGGCAAGAACTTTCAAAGGATTATACCTCAGTAAAAGAGTGGATTGACATAGATACATAAAAAAGTAGTAATCTGGGCTCTGGCCAATTTAGATTGTGCTTGATCTTCTCCAAAACGATCTAAGATTCAACTTATCTCACTACTCTAAAGATTAATCCTCATTCTTTTTTTAAAAATTATTTAATTTATTTATTTCTGGCTGCGTCAGGTTTTAGTACAGCATGCAAGATCTTCGTTGAGGCATGCGGGATTTTTCATTGTGGCGTACGGGCTCTTTGTTGCGGCGCCTAGGTATCTCTCTCTAGTTCTGGTGAGTAGGCTCAGTAGTTGCAGTGCACGGGCTCTCTAGTTGTGGCACGCAGGCTCTGTAGCTGTGGTGTGCAGGCTCCAGAGTGTGTGGGCTCTGTAGTTTGCAGCACGTGGGCTCTCTCATTGAGGTACGCGAGCTCAGTAGTTGCGGCGCATGGGCTTAGTTGTCCCATGGCATGTGGGATCCTAGTTCCCCAATCAGGGATCGAACCTGTATCCCATGCACTGGAAGGCAGATTCTAAACCACTGGACCACCAGGGAAGTCCCTAATCCTCATTCTTAAAACTTCATTTGATCTACTATGAAATCATAATTCTCTTCCTAACACATTGATTCCATTTCTTAGGAACCAAAAACCCTGGCCTTTTCGTTGGTAAGAAACTATTCACTCCCTAGCTTGTCATTCTATAACAAATGAAAATGAAAGCTACCGTGTTCAAATGTATTCTCTGTAACAGCTAACAAGTTTTCTTTTCCAATCATGGAAGAGTGAGAATGGAAGAGACAAGTTAACTTTACTCACTACATGAATGTGTATAATCCTGTACCTTTCCATCAGCATTAGTGATAAATCAGTGTCTCCTATGCCCCTCTCTAATCTCACATATTCAAACAAGAAAAGGAATTTCACATTCATTTTTTAAAAATTAATTAATTTATCTATTTTTGGGTGTGTTGGGTCTTCGTTGCTGCGTGCGGGCTTTCTCTAGTTGCGGTGAGCGGGGGCTACTCTTCGTTGTGGTGCTCAGGCTTCTCATTGTGGTGGCTTCTCTTGTTGCGGAGCATGGGCTCTAGGCACACGGGCTTCAGTAGTTGTGGCTCGCGGGCTCTAGAGCACAGACTCAGTAGTTGTGGTGCATGGGCTTAGTTGCTCTGCAGCATGTGGGATCTTCCCGGACCAAGGATTGAACCTGTGTCCCCTGCATTGGCAGGCAGATTCTTATCCACTGCACCACCAGGGAAGCTCTCACATTCATTTTTTATAATCTTCCCTATTTATGTTTTTTAACACAGCATGTATCATTTTATAGTGACAAGAAAAGGAAAGATAGATATGCCTTTTAAAATAAACAAATTAAAAAAAGATAGTCCTCTGTCTCCTTCAAGCTTGGGGAAGCTTGATAGAAATATAAAGACGCTCTGAGAAGGACACACCTTGTACTCAAAGCCCCACAGATGGTGATAAATTACAATTCACAATGAAAACAATCCATAATGAGTGAAATCATCAAATACAGTAGAAAATTAGACTCTCCCAAGAACCTCATGTAATATAAGATAGTGCCTGATTTTAAAAAGTTAAACACACACACATACACATACACACGAAAATGCAAAAGACAACACCATTAAAACAAAAAACAACAGATAAGGAAAGATTTGGAATAGAGCATCAAAAGAATTATGGCCATTCTTTCTTGCCATAAACAAGTTGCTGGAAAATCAGACAAAATATATGAGAGAACTGTTTTCAGATAGCAGACAACTAGCTATACAGGAATGTGATCCCTGAGAGAAGATATTCAAATGGGGCAGTTTCTAGATTGCTACGCATGTAAGGGGAACCTAAAGAGTTGGCAGTTTTGCTGAGTTGAGGAGACAGAGATCAGTCTTCAGGGTGGCCAAGGCAGCAAAAATTTGTAGAACAGAGCAATGTAGAGGAAAAAGTTCCAGAGAAAGAGAAAGAGAGGAAAGACATCTGCAGAGGGATCCCCTAAAATCTTTGGCTGAGTACTGATACGGAGTGAAACTCCACAAGGCCAGGGAAAGAACCACCAGAAAGCAGTACGTGAACAAATCCCAAAGCCACGCAGGGTTAGGAATAATTCACATTCTCACCAGCCAGAGTGAAGAGATCTCATAATAAACAAAACATTTGATGGTAGTGGGGTAACTAGGATAAAGTAGTAGGGTAAAGGTTGATCTGAAGCCACTTTAACAAAGCAAATATAGACATACCTTGGAGATATTGTGGCTTTGATTTCAGACAACCACAATAAAGCAAATATTGCAATCACGTGAGCCACCCAAATTTCTTGGTTTCCAGTGCATAGAAAGTTATGTTTATACTATATTGTAGTCTACTAAGTGTGCAAAAGCATAACGTCTTTAAAAAAATGTAAATACCTTAATTAAAAAATATTGCTAAAATTTTATTGCTAAAAAATTCTAACCATTATCTGAGCCCTTCAGCAAGTTACAGTAGTAACATCAAACATCACTGATCAGAGATCACCATAACAAATATAATCCTAATGAAAAATTCTGAAATGTTGCAAGAATTATTAAAATGTGACACAGAAACACAACGTGACTTAATGCTGTTGGAAAAATGGTGCAGACAGACTTGTTCGACACATAGTTGCCACGAATCTTCAATTTGTAAAAAAACACAGTATTTGTGAAGTGCATAAAATGAGGTATGCCTGTAAATAAGCTTTGAATGGAACAACTTGATCCATGAGTAGCTTAACTGAATGCCAGCGCAAAGTCCAAGATTCTTTAAAGGAAAACAACAAAACTACTAATCAATGAAGTAAATTAAATTTCACAATGACTACAACCAACTAAAAATTACCAGGCATACAAAGAGTCAGAAAAACATGATCCTTAAACAGGAGAAAAGTCAATCAATAAAAATAGACCCAAAAATGACAGGGATAATAGAATCAGTAGACAAGGATTTAAAACAGTTATTATAGGGACTTGCCTGGTGGCACACTGGTTAAGAATCTGCCTGCCAATGCAGGGGACATGGGTTTGAGCCCTGGTCCAGGAAGATCCCACATGCCATGGAGAAACGAAACCCGTGCGCCACAACTACTGAGCCTGTGCTCTAGAACCCGCAAGCCACAACTACTGAGCCTGTATGCCAAAACTACTGAAGCCCATGTGCCTAGAGCCTATGCTCCGCAACAAGAGAAGCCACAGCAATGAGAAGCCTGAGCACTGCAACAAACAGTAGCCCTCACTCACCGCGACTAGAGAAAGCCCATGCGCAGCAACGAAGACCCAACACAGCCAAAAAAATAAAATTAGTTAATTTAAAAACACAGCTATTATAAATGTTATAAATATGATACGAATGAAAGAAAAATATAAGCTTGAGGAGAAAAAAAATGAAGATATAAAAAAGATCTAAATGTAACTTCTAGAAATAATATATACATGTACCTGAAATGAAAAATATACTGGATGAGATTAACAGCAGATGATATGCTGCAGGAAAAAAATAATCAGTGAACTAAAAAACAGTAATAGAAAACAGCAAGGTCAAAACACAGAAAGAAAAAAGGAAAGACACCTGCCAAAAAAGCCAGCAGAGTATTTCTGTGACTTTTGAGACAATTTTAAGCAATCTAACATACTTGTAATTGGAGTCTCAGAAAGAGAGGAGATAAGAGAGGGTACGGAAAAATATATTTGAAGAAATAATGGCCAAAATTTTTTCAAATATATGAAATTTATAAACCTCAAAACCCAACAGAAAAATATCCACTTGGACTTCAATAGTGAGCAAAAATTTATCTTTTGAAAATTAAATCAAAGACTTTTTCACATAAACAAAACCTAAATGAAAATTAATTGCCAGCTTACCTACACTAAAAGAAATGTTTTTGAAAAAAAAAGAGTAGTATGAGAAATACGTGGCTAAGTATATAAGTCAAATTTCTCATTCTTAAATCTATTTAATGAAAGATTGATGAGTACTCTTGCTTCTGGCCAAGATGGACTAAAAGGGGCCAGATTTACTCTCCATTCTAAAACAACTGAAAAAACACAACATGAAACAACAGTTTTCAAGATACTAGACATTAGGTAATAAAGAACAGTGACCTTTAGAGATGGAAAACAAACAAGGTGAGATGCTGCCTTGAGAGAGTTTCCAGGCTGTGGCACAGGGATATAGAACTAAAAGCAGAGCCCAGTGGGCTCATGGAGTTGAAGAGATGGAGCTGAGAGTCCAGGGAGACCAAGGCAATTCATAGGACAGAGTACCAGAGAGAAGACAATGTACATGGAGAGAATCCAGAGAGCTGCAGGGAGTAGCACTCTATTCAGCAGAGTACTGATCAGAGCATGACTGTGAGAAAACTATTTGAGGGAAGAAAAAAAGCCATCAAAAAGATTAGAGAAAAGTTCCCAGCACTCACAAAGGGCCAGGAATAGTGCCTGTTCTCACCAACCATTCTGGAAAAACTCTTCATTCACAGGGCATTGAGCAGAGTACTCAGGAAGGTCTTGTTGCAGTAGTACAGAATAATCAACCCTAGCCTCAGCACTGCTCTGGATTCTCCTAATAGATCATAAAAGCAAGATCAGCTCCGCCCTCACAACCTTCTCTGGCCCCGGGCCACCGGGTGGTTCTCAGCAGAGCAGGCTGAGCTGCGGGAAGGGAACCCTGGGGAAGAGGAGGGCACGAGGCATTGAGGCAGGGGAAAGTGACCAGCTGCCCTTCATTACCAGCTAGGGACGAGCATGCGGGGCACCTACCACCGGGTACTTGATAAAGTGGAGCTCCTGCTGCCTGAGAAACTGAGGCCGTTGTACAACCAACCAGCAGGTCCCAGAACAGTATTCTTCTGGGCTCCAATTATGAAATGGGGGTTGGTGTGTGCTGGATTGGCTGACATGGTCAGACCTGCAGAAAAACTCAGCACAGCCCAATCTGCTGTTTTGATGGCTACAAGGTTTATTTGGTCAAGATACTCACTTGTAATTATTCCCAAAAACTGGAGTCTGTTTGCTGTTAATTTCTTTGTTGGGACAGCAGGAGCCTCTCAGCTCTTTCGTATTTGGAGATATAACCAAGGATTAAAAGCTAAAGCAAACAAATAAGAGTTCTGATCACCCTAACAACCTAGATGTGGACATAACCGCTGGGACCTAGTTTGATTTATTATTCAGTTGTCAATGAGGTGATGCTAACTGTGCTAACATTTGTAATGCATAAAATCTAACTGTAATTGGGAGGTAGTACTTGGTTCAACAGAAAAATACAGCAAACTTTTAATAATAAAAAAAAGCAAGATCAAATAGGATCAAACTGTTTAAAAGTAAGTCAATTAAGCCCAGAACAAAATTCAAGAATATTTTATAGGAAAATAAAAATATCCAGCATCCAACAAGGTAAAATTCACAATGGTTGGCATCCAATCAAAAACTACCTGGCGGGCTTCCCTGGTGGCGCAGTGGTTAAGAGTCTGCCTGCTAATGCAGGGGACACAGGTTCGAGCCCTGGTCTGGGAAGATCCCACATGCCATGGAGCAACTAGGCCCGTGAGCCACAACTACTGAGCCTGCACTCCGCAACAAGAGAAGCCGCGACAGAGAGGCCCGTGCAGTGCGATGAAGAGTGGCCCCCGCTTGCCACAACTAGAGAAAGCCCTCGCACAGAAACGAAGACCCAACACAGCAAAATAAATTAATTAATAAACTCCTACCCCCAACATCTAAAAAAAAAAAACTACCTGGCATGCAAACTGGCAAGAAAATGCAACTCTAAAGGAGGGGAATAATCAATCATTTGAAATTTACCCAGAACTAACAAGGATGTTAAAATTAGCAGAGAAGGACAGTAAAACAGTTATTACAAATATATTTCATATGTTCAAGAAGTTAAGTAAAAATATGGAAGATATAAAAAAGACCCAAAATGAAGTTCTAGAGGAGAAAATGACAATGTCTAAAGATAAAAACTACACTAGCTGGGATTAACAGCAGATCAGACACTGCAGAAGAAACAATTACTGAATTAGAAGGCATAGCAATGGAAACAATTCAAACTGAAATGTACATAGAAAATAGAACAAAGAAAATTTTAAAAGCACCAATAAATTGTGAATTTCAAGCAGCTTAATATATGAGAAATTGGAGTCTCCAAAAGACTCCAGTGGGTTGGAGGGAAGGGGGTGCAAAACTTTTTTTTTGAAGAAATAATGGCCAAAAACTTTTCAAACTTGAAAACTATAAACCAAGAAATTCAATGAATCCCAAATACAGGAAGCATGAAGTAAATTACACTAAAATACATCATAATCAAATTACTCAGAACTGTTGTTGCTAATCCTAAATCTTAAAAGTAGCCAGAGGAAAAAATCATATACAATATAGAGGAATAAAGATAACAATGACATCAGATTTCTCACTGGAAAGATGCAAATCAGAAAAAAAGGTAACAAACATAGTTAAAGTACTGTCAACCTAGAATTCTACACCTGGCAAAAAATCTTTCAAAAATGAATGTTAAATAAATAAAGATGTTTGCAGACATACAAAAGCTGAAGAATTCACCATCAGCAGACCCACACTACGAAATACGTTAAAGGATGTTTTTTAGGTAGAAAGAAAATGAGAGCGGTTGGAAATGTGGATCTACACAAAGGAAAGAAGAGCATCAGAAATAGTAACTATTTGGGTGAACATACAAATTTTAAAAAATTATTTAATCTTCTTAAAAGATAATTGATATTAAAAAAGTGTTTATGTGGTTTATTTCATATATAAAATAAAATGCATGACAATGATGACATAAAGGAAAGAAGAGCCGAAATGGACATCTACTATTATAAGGTTCTTAATACTATATATGAAATTATATAAAATCTCTTAAAGGGAGACTGTGTTTAAAGATGTATGCTATAAACCCACAACAATCATTAACATAACAAATTAGAGTAATAGCTAATAAACCAAGAAAGGGGATCAAACGGAATTATAAAAAAATACTCAATTAAACCTTTTTTTTAAGGCAGGAAAAGAAGAAAAAACAAAGAACAGATAGGATAAAGAGAAAACAAATACCAAGTTGATGAATTCAAATCTAACCATACCAATAATTACATTAAATGTAAATAATCCAAACAGTCCAAATAAAAAGGAGAGGGGCTTCCCTGATGGCACAGTGGTTGAGAGTCCGCCTGCCAATGCAGGGGACGTGGGTTCGTGCCCTGGTCCGGGAAGATCCCACATGCCGTGGAGCGGCTGGGCCCATGAGCCATGGCCGCTGAGCCTGCGTGTCAGGAGCCTGTGCTCCGCAATGGGAGAGGCCACAGCAGTGAGAGGCCCGCATACCGCAAAAAAAAAAAAAGGAGAAATTCTCATATTGGATAAAAAAGCAGGTGCAAAGTATATGCTGTCTATAAGAAACACACTTTAAATATAAAGACAAATATAGGTTAAAAGTAAAAGGATGGAAAAAGATAAACCATGGTAACATTATTCAAAAGAAAGCTGGAATAGCTATATTAAGGAGACAAAGGAGATTCCAAAGTAAAGAATATACCAAGTCATTTCATAATGATAAACGGGTCAATTAAGAGGGCATAGCAATTCTGTTTATGAACCTAGTAACAGAACTTCAAAATATAGGAAGCAGAAACTGATAGAATATGATAATTGCTAGAACAAGTAGGCAGAACATCAGTAAGTCTGTGGTAGACTTGAATAATATCAACCTACTAGACCCAACTGACATTTATAGAACACTCTAACAATAGTAGAATATACATTCTTTTTTTTTTTTTTTTTTT